TGACGCATACAATGTATTGTTGGCTATTGCTACAAATATACCCCAGCGACTTAACACTGCTTTTGTGCTCCATGGTCACATTTACTCTTGAACACAAAAGAAGATATTTCAAAGAATGTTGGGAATCAAACAGTTGATGACTTCTATAGTGTTTTTTTTTTTTTTACTATAGAAGTCAATGTCTATTGGCAACTGTTTGGTTACTCACGTTCTTCAAAATCTCTTCTTTTGTGATCAACAGAGGAAAGAAACTCAGATTTGGAACAGCTTGCGGGGGAGTAAATGATGATTCATTTTTGGGTTTCATTGTTCATTTTCCTTTTTTAAACTAAAACTGTAAAAAAAAGAAAAAGAAAAGAAAAAACATTTTCGTTACTTGAAATAAACTTAATTTTTGATTAGTAATATGCATTGCTAAGAACTTCATTTGGACAACTTTAAAGATGATTTTCTCAATATTTAAATTTTTTTGCACCCTCAGATTCCAGATTTTCAAATAGTTGTATCTCAGCTAGTGGTCGACCGATATTGTTTTTTTGACAGCCGATGCCGATATCTTGGAAAGCAGGATGGCCGATATAAAGCCGATATAATTGTATTTATTTTAATTAATATTTAAGAAATTTGAAAATGGATTAAAAACTAAATTTGTAAAATAAACATACTTTAGATGACAAAGTATTTTCCACAAATAAATCAATATTTAATAAAAATATAATAAAAAAAGGAAGTAAACACTGTAACCAACAGGGCACTCAGTATTCTGGGAAGTTTGTGTGCATTGGGAATCATATTTTTTTTAAATAAAGCCAAGGTAACACTCATTTTACATACAGCACAGTGAAAATGACATGAATATGACAGTGGGTAAATGCATGAAGCGCAGCATAATTTGAAATCACGAGTTTAATGTTTAAAGCATTCAATTTGCACGGACCGAAAGTCACGCAGAGAACACGCGATCATGCAGGTCACACTTCACAAGATCTCACAACTGGATTCGACTAAGTCTGCAAGGTTTGTGAAATTAAATGTTCATTAGTCATTCAAAGATTTGTTTAAATGATATAAATGTGTATTTGCTGAATGCTGACGGCAAACGAGAAAGTATTATAATGTTTGCCTTTCTATTACTAATAATATAAAAGCAATCGTTATAATACTTTTTGTATACATTTTAATTCCTTTGTTTAACCGTTCTATCGGATTATTAGACAAATTTGTTGACGACGACGGCGAACAAGAGGGAGAATGTGAGCACTGTGTGCTCAGGCGCTGCCGCTGTCCGTGCAGTCAAAATAAAAGTCCGTCGCACCGTCAAAATAAAAGTCTCGCCTCGAACGCATTTGAAAAATGCCAAATATTGCCCGATATATCAGGCTTGGCGATATATCGGTCGACCAATAATCTCAGCCAAATATTGTCCTATCCTAACAAACCACACATCAATGGAAAGCTTATTTATTCAGCTTTCAGGTGATGTATAAATCTCAATTTTGAAAAATGTACCCTTATGACTGGTTTTCTGCTCCAGGGTCACATATTGTTTATAAACTGATGGACGTGTCAAAATGACGGTCGGTGCTAATTAAAACATGCTGATAGAGCTTCTACTGAACCTGGAATATATAGGGCCCTATGATTTGCGCGATGCGGAAAACACAGACAGAATCCAGTCATAAAAACGGAATTCAAATTTTAATGCGGGATGTTACGGAATTTGTCAAATTTTTAATTAATTAATCAAAAGTAGGTCATTACACTTAACTCAAATCATGGACTAGTATCTGTAAATATTAAGGCGCAAAAGTCAGTTTTGTTTACTACACACATACTGAAGCGTCTCACTAAATGAGGATGTAAACGCATGAACAACATCTGCAGAACTGCTCTGAAAGTCACTTCATGAGCATTTGACCGTTTGATTTGAGTAAAAGTAGCCTCATATCACATACACAGAACTGTGAAGGTATTCACGGCAACCCGTCAAAATAAAAGTCCGGTTTAATTTGAAGACATTGTGCCTATTACCGATTTTAATTAATTAGACATGCTTTTTGATTAATACAATTTAATTTAACTATAATAAAGGAGTCGAGAAAAATTAAAACGAAAAAAAATAAATAAATAAAAACAGAATCCAGAAAAATAAAAACGGAAAAAACAGAATTTGGAAAAAAATAAAACTGAATTTAGGAAAAAATAAAACGGATTTCATAGGGCCCTAAATATATTAATGGAAATAAGTGACTATTGCTAGTAAAATGAATGAGTTCTGCCCACACGAGTCATACAGAGCCGTTTACCTGTGGGTTTGACTTGGCGATATTCTCGATCTTTATCCACGCCTCCTCGCGCTCTTTCCACTTGGCCTTTTCTCTAATGTTCAGAGAGAAAGGAAGAGTTTAGCCAGACGATGTGTGAGAGTGTGTGTGTGTGTGAGTGTGTGTGTGTGTGTGTGAGAGTGTGTGTGTGTGTGTAAGCACTTCCTACTTGTTCTTCTCGGCTCTGAACTGCTGTGTGCAGTCGTCAAACAGCTTCTGATTCATCTCCATGAACAGCTTCAGAGCGTTATAGATCAGCCCGTGGATCGTCCTGACGACAGGAAGAGGAAGTGACAGCATCAAACAGACTGAACATCTGAATAGTGTCGATGGACTGAATCACTTTTAAAGTCAGTATAAAAGTCAAACTGATTCTGCACTTTCTTGATATTGTGCAAGTTGTTATAAAGAATAAAATTGTGAATATGTTTTTATACATCATTTTTCCATTTTCCATCCTCTCTGATGATTACAATTAAACAGGCGGTTTCTGATACAGTATTTGTTGGACATTCATATGCAAATGAGCTTTCTTATGATTGGCTGACCTCTTTACATGCGTAAAGCCCCTTTGACTCACTCATTTATTTACCAAATTAGTCAATATTCTCGATAACAGGTGGAACATTAGTCTCCCAGAATAAAGACTTGTGAACAGCGTGACTCACTTGTTCCAGTGGGTTTTGGAGTTTCGGTACAGTGAGGGGAACATGATGGGCAGGATCCTCGCCGCGTTATCGCTGATTAAACTCATGATGTACTCATTATTCCAGTAGTAGAGAGCTCGCTCCGCAACCTGAGGACGACACGAATGTAATAACAGTTAGATAGGGATTCTTTCATGAACGCGTGCTGCTTTCTGTGGGTCCAGCAGACCTGGAAGTGTGGACTGGAGACGCATTTAGCCAGCTGTCTGAATAAGGGCTCCATGACTTTAACAAACTCTGACGGCTCGATGACGTCCAGAATCTCTTCCAGCTCGTTCAGAAACATCACCTCCTTTGGACTGTGAGTCTTTGGCCAGTATTTCAGAAGAGCCATCACCACCTGAAACCAACAAAACACTCCTCAGCAACTACACTCGCGCTCTGAAGCCTTGAATAATTCAGATTTGTAATGTTTTACAAGTCTCTTCTGCTCACCGAGGCTGCGTTTACCTGATTCAAAATACAGTAAAAATTGTGAAATAGTTTTGTAATTTAAAACATCTGTTTTCTATGTGAATATCTGTTAAACTGTAATTTATTTCTGTGATCAAAGCTGTATTTCCAGCATCAATTTCACAATTTTTACTGTATTTTTGAATCAAATAAATGCAGCCTCGGTAAGCAGGAGAGACTTTTTTCAAAATGATTTGACTGGTAGTGTGTAAAATATGAAGTGATCCCTGCTGAAAAGGCCTGGTTAAATATGCTGGTAAAAGCTAGTTCAAGACTAGAAGACAAAAACAGCTTTATGAAAGGAGACGAGAAATGAAAGAAAGAAAACGAACAGAAGCTGCTGCTGCTGAAACCCACCGGCTCAGTAAGTGTGCTGTCCTTCTCTAGAAACTGAACCACACTGTAAGCCAGCTGAAGAACCAGAAACAACAGCAGTCAGTCATCAGAGTCAAAGCCTGCTGCACTTACAAACTAAAGGAGGAGCAAGAAATTATATTGTGGGTGAAAAATAAATAAAGCTTATTTTTTATGATCATTAAGATTTTCCCTCAAAATTTTAATACATTTTTTATTTAGTTAGATTTTCCCGAATGAGAATCTAAAGTAATTTATGCAGAATTAAAATATGGAATATATATTTAAAACGTTTCCACAATTTTCTAGAAATTATTTATATATATTCATAAATATGAAAACAATAAATGTAATACTGCTTTAAATTGTTTGATGCAGTTGGACGGGTATACGGTAGATTACTCCGATCCGCAGCCAGGTACACTCACACTTCAACACTAATGCCTTATTTATTAATGCTCATGTGGGAGTTTAGAATTTAGTTCAAAATTGGATGAATAATCATGGTTAAATTAATTTCAGTGACCTCTGTCTTAAAATTAAATTTCACATTTGCTGCATTTGAAAGAGATGCACATTATGAACTTAAATGAAGCGGGTACGACTTATTGTAGAAAACCAAAATATGTTTAATTACAGAGAATTAAATTAGGTGGAAATAACATGTAAATATTTAGAATATTCTGTATTAATAATAATAATGCAATAGTGTAGTGTAAAATAAATTTTTAATGTTATTTTTATATATATATTTATATACACAAATACATATTAAATGTATTATGAATATCTGTATTATGTTGAAAGTTATATGTTTGTTTATAATCTTTTAATAATATATTTTATTAAAATATAAATATCTATAAAATGTTTTTGTGTGTGGGTCAAAGACGAAAAAGGGTTTAAGCATAAAAACAATATGTGTAATACTGCTTTAAATTGTTGTTGTTTTAAATTAAAAAAATAAATTCTGTTTAATTTAATTGCAATTTTGGTTTTGTTTTTCCGAGCAAAAAATAAATATCATACATTTTTACATCAACATACAAGAGACCCACTCAAATGTCATTCAGTGTAACAATCTTGTCAGGCATATTTACAATAAAAATCAATTTATGACATATTTTAAAATACTAATTACTTACACCCCAAATACTAATTAGTTGTAATCTTACATTTTTAAAAGTTGCCACTATCCTAGATTTTGCCCATTTGTCAGTAAAAATGTTTTACTAATTTAAAACACAATAAAATTTAATATGCTCTTATTCTTTTATATATTTTAATATGTACAGGTCAGAATAAGCATGTTGTTTGAATTTTTACATAAATGTTGTGTTACACTGAATGACAATGTAACATTATTTCAACCAACTTTTGACATTTTATTCTCCAAAAACTCATTTGAAACCTTAAAAGTAGACATTTTAACTTACATTTAATGTGCTTTCTATGGACATAAAATCACTTTTTTGTACATTTCTTTTGTTATATATATTTTGTATGTATATATATATATATGTGCTTAATTAGCATGAAACAAACAAAGTGTCTTAAGTTCTTAATAAAACATAAAAAATTACTTTTTCGACACACTGTGACGCATGCATATGAATCATTTCAATATAAACTCCATATCGTACCTGTGGGTGATAAACACTGAGGGACTTGACTTTATGCAAAGGTAACAAAACTTTTAAAAGGAAGATTTTGTGCTCTTCTTTCAGCGGTAAGGCGAAGCCGTTAATGATGCTGGAGGAAAAGAGAATCGTTACAGAGACGTCATGACTGAGGCTTTAAGCTCATTAGAGCATATGAACACGGGAAGCTCAGCAGCAGAGTAAACGAGCCTAACACACACTGTAACTGTTAACGAGAGTACTCATATAAAACATGATGAAAGGCACCAATAATGTCATCACAATACATCAAAGAATTATTACAATGCCATTTCGCGAAGCAAAAGCAATTCGTCATACAGCATCAAATTAATTTATTCAAATGTTGCTCGGATTTGAGAGAAATAAACAGATTTTATTAACATTGTTTCATACCTTCCTAATATTTCTATATATATGTTTTTGAAAGTCTCTTATTCTCACCAGTGCTGCATTTATTTGATTAAAATACAGTAAAAATTGTGAAATATTATTATCATTTCAAACAGCTGTTTTCTAAGTGAATATCTGTTAAACTGTCATTTATTTCTGTGATCGAAGCTGTATTTTCAGCATCATTACTCCAGTCTTCAGTGATTATTATCAATGTTGAAAACATTAATATTTTTGTGGAAAACGTGATACATTTTATTTTTCAGGATTCACAAAGTTCAAAAGAACAGCATTTATTTGAAACAAATTTTATCAATTTCATATTAATATTTTGATTAATTTAATTTTTATCTGTAAAAGTCTTCTCAGCATTTCCACCATTGATAATAATCAGAAATGTTTCTCGAGCAGCAAATCAGCATATTAGAATGATTTCTGAAGATCATGTGACACTGAAGACTGGAGTAATGATGCTGAAAATACAGCTGCGCATCACAGAAATAAATTACAGTTTAACAGATATTCACATAGAAAACAGTTATTTTAAATTGTAATATTATTTCACATTTTTACTGTATTTTTGATATTCTGAACTGAAGACTGATAATTTAAAAAAACATTTAAAGTCAACACACACACACACATATATATATATATATATGGCTATGGGACAAAAACAAATGTTGCATTATATCCAACTATATTATATTAAAAGGTATTAAATCGTAAAAAATAATATAAGAAATGTTAAACATTTTTTTTTGAAATATTAACTTATATTGTTTTTACATTTAATAAAATTGCTTAAAAAATATATATATAATTTAGAAATGAAGATATGCTTCAATGGCATGTTTTTCACTATTTTCCAAATCAAATCAAAGGTCATCACATGCAGTTATATGTTATATGCAGTTTCACTCAGTTGTGAAAGTTGAATGCATTGTTAATCTTCTGTCATAGTTTTCAGTCTCACCTACAGAAAATGTTATTAATCTGTTTCCTGATGTAAGCTCTGAGACCCAGGAACTTCCCGTAGATGCGGTGGAGAGTCGTCTTCAGAAAGTCACGCTCTCGAGGGTCTTCGCTGTCGAACAGCTCCAGGAGCTGCAATCCAATCAGATCCAACATCCATTAATTACGCTTATCGCATGTGAAGTGAGCATATTTTAGTAGGGATGCACCGAATGTTCGGCAACCGAAATTATTCGGCCGAAAATAGCAAAAAAAGCGAAAAGACCGAATAAATTGTACCGAACAATGATCTGACGCGATCAAATAGCAACCAGTTTATAATTTATAATGCAGCACACACGTCAGCAGTGTGGAAGCATTTAAACTGTCGGAGAAAGACGCAAAAATCATTAAAGCACCGACAGCGAGAGACTGTTTAGGACTGCATCGCATGTCTTCGATGAGAAGAGGACGGGGTGATTGTTGCTGGTTACTGTATGATAATTGAAATCACGAAATGGCTTTAAACAATTAATAAATAAACTGCAGAACGTCATGTTTTCTAATACACGCGCGCATTGCATGTATTCTGACAGCACTATCTGCTTGTTAACCAGGGTTCAAAGCGCAAGGAAAATCTGCGCTGATACAGTGTTACTCGTTAGTTGCTCAGTCACATTTTATGAATGTTTACAAGTCATGTGACAAAGCGATACGTGCGACGTATTCGTAATGAGACTCATTTATAAATCTGCTGTCAACAAAAAGAAGCATTGAGGTCTTCCTGCGCATTTCCGCCAAAATAAAAGTTGAGAAAAAGCAAGAACTCTTATCAACATTCATAAATGTTAGTATTGTAATTTTACTGTTGTTCTGTAAAATAAAATAAAGAGACAATAATAACGATAATAATCATTACAACAGCTCTGTTTTAATACATTTATTTTAACATTCACACATAGTGTTCAAATTAGGATCTGTAATATATTCTAATGCTTTAAAAGAAGTCTGCTCAGAAAGGCTGCTTTTAATTTTACAGTAAAAATACATGACTTATTCAAGAAGTAAAAAAATATAATTTTACTAACTTATTAATTTTAAGTTAAATTGTGCTTTGTTGGTATAATGTCTGCTAGAATGTTAAAAAATGTTCAGTGTTAAATACTTTTAAATTGTTGTTTTGTAATTGATTTGTTTCTTTGAAAAACAAGACAAAACAGTAAAAAGCACATTTTAGCTATTTAATTTATGCAATGGTGAAATAAAAAATTGGCAAAATACATTGGGGAAAAAAACTCGAAAAACCGTGTTCGGCCTTCGGCCCAGTGTTTCATTTTGTTCGGTTTCGGCCAAGAATTTTCATTTCGGTGCATCCCTAATTTTTAGCACATAGGTTCTATTGTAATCATGCAAATAATGCAAAAATAACTTGAGGATCCACACTAAGCATCTGTTTTCTGTGGACATTATACAAACTCTCACATTTATTTAGTATATTCATTCAAACTGCATTGGTATTTGGAGTCCTGTGCATGCAACTTGTAATTATGAATGTTTTTTCAATGCCAAGTGATTCTGGAAAACAGACATCCAAAACAACACGTATTTCAACACAAGCATCCAAACGAACCAAGCACGTATTTCAACACACCTGCAACACAAACTTCTGGTCGATGTATTTCTTGGCTATGTTTGGTTGAAAGTCTGGCGACTCTAAAAAACGCAGGAAAAATTCATAGACGAGCTGTGGAAGGAAAAATATGTAACTGAAATATGCATTTCAAAATGTAGAAACATGTATTTATAAGCAAATTAGCAGTGGCCACTTTCATCTAAAGCACCTTACAGCACACTTTTTATAGATAAATTATTTTATTAATAATAATAAAAACAATTTCATTATAATTAAGCACATTAAAAAAATAAATAACACATCCACGTAAGTGCACACATTATTCTCATTTATAGGATTTTTTTCTATAAAAAAATCTTGGCTTTAAAAAAATATATTTTATTAACGAGTAAAACACTGTACAACAAATAACACTATTATATACACTGCTGTTCAAAAGTTTGGGATCAGTAAGATTTTTAATGTGTTTTAAAGAAGTCTCTTCTGCTCATCAAGACTGCATTTATTTGATCAGAAATACAGAAAAAAACTGTAAAATTGTGAAATATTATTATAATTTCAAACAGCTGTATTCTATGTGAATATCTGTTAAACTGTAATTTATTTCTGTGATCAAAGCTGAATTTTCAGCATCATTACTCCAGTCTTCAGTGTCACATGATCTTCAGAAATCATTCTAATATGCTGATTTGTTATCAGTGCTGAAAACATGAATATTTGTGTGGAAACTGTAACGCATTTTATTTTTCAGGATTCACAGATGAACAGAAAGTTCAAAAGAACAGCATTTATTTGAAATAGAAATGTTTTCTAACATTATAAATGTCTTTACTGCCACTTTTGATCAATTTAATGCATCCTTGATTAATAAAAGTATTAATTTAATATGAATGTCCAGGTGTTCACCTGCAGGTGAGGCCAGGCCGCTTCTAACGTGGGTTCATCCTCCTCGGGGTCAAACTCTGCGCCGGTTGGGTTGGATGATGGAGGCAACGCCCTAAACATGTTGACTGCAAACTGAAACAAACCACATAAAATTAAAAATGTGTGTATAGATGCATATCTGATTACTGAGAACAGACTAAAGGGGCGAGTCTTTATCCATGAACCGTCCATTCAGCTTGCTGATTAATGAAACGTGGCAGCACATGCACAAATTAATCAGAAGAAAAGGGTTTAATCCTCCCGATCGCAGCACTTTGAAGTTCCTGGCTTTAATCATCAAAGTGTGTGTGTGTTTTCAAGGGCATGTCATGCAGGAGAACATATTGTCATGCTTATTTCGCAAGTGCATTTGCACTTCGATAGGCCGAGGCTTAACATCAGCTGCGGGCTCTAATAAATATCAAAGAGATGTAATGAGATGTAATGCAGAAGCGCCAGGTCCGTAGCTAAACGCGAAGCCGTCGGCCAAAAACTGGCCCTTAAAAGGATGATCTGATTCAGAGGAGCCAACAGATCTGCCCAAACGCGCAACACAACCTCGTACGGCCGAGCGACGCGCTAGCTGTGGTTTATATAGTTCACGGCCACTTCAAAGAAGGAAAGACAAGTTTAACACAAGCTTTAGACTTCTCAAGACCAAAATATGCGTGTTATCAAAGGAATAGTTCACCTAAAAATGAAAGATGAGTTTGTTTCTCCATCGGATTTGGAGAAATTGCATCACTTGCGCTTCTGCAGGAATAACTTCTCCTGCTCGGCCGGAGGAACATCTGCAGCCACGGAGAGGAGAGGTCATGTTAGCTCTATAAAGCCTTTCTAAAGCCTCAGACTTTGCTGTTTCTCACTCGATCTTCTCCAGGTCTTCTGTCTCTGATTGAGAGTTTAGAGTGTTTTCTCCAGTCAAAGCTCTTTTAGTGTAACTGTAGCTGGAGCTTCTCGTGTCAAATCTTGACTGATTTTGATCAAGTAAGCGTCAGAATAACTGCAGTAATAACTCCACATGAACACTTAC